TTGTCTACGAACCACGGGATCGGTCCTGCTCCCCTCGAGGATTTCGAGCATATTCGGCGTCCAAACTCGTCTTTTTCGATGAGCCGATCCTGTCAATGCCAGTGTCAAGGTCCATGGAAACCTATCTATGGAACTTCCTTTCCAAAGGAATTACTATACTGGGCCCACATTCACCTTTGTCGGTGGACGACATCACATACAATGCCGAATTACTGTCGAATTCCTATCAATTCATCGCGGAAAATTGGATTGCGCTACAGTCCAAGTTGAAGAGCATCAACAAGTATAAGCTGATGATCTGGCTGGCAACGATAGCCTTTGCAGAGAATGCAGACTTCGCGGTGATCCAAACCTTGGCTTCATTCAAGACAAGCAGCACTATCCACGCACTCTATGCACCTGTGTCAGATGGCTTTGATCTCTCGAATGGCAAGAGCTTCATGGATTCAACAGTGAGGCATGAGGTCATGAAAAATTTCAAGCCCTTCGATTCCTGTCCCGAAATGTGTATGCAGCAAATGGCCTACGAAGACGACCATTCATTCATGAAAAGGCGAGAGAGCGAATTCCTCAGCAACAGAAACATTGCTCTGGAAACCTTTCTCAACATGATAGAGTCTCAGTGGTCTTGTCGCGTTCCGAACCTGCCCGCCGGCTACAAAAAGACGAACAGTTGGAATCAATATATAGACGTGGGTAGTGCGATGGCAAGCATCAGGGCCCTTTTCCAAACCTGGTACGACAACCTTCAATTTGAGAAATACCTTCGAGAGGTAGCTTGCTTCTTGCCGACTGCAGTCAGCCCACTAGAATTGGCGGTGCCTCTGCTGGCAACAACAGACTGGCCCACATATGACCAGCCTCGGTTTCTGACCGAAAACTCTTTGTTCATGAATTCTCCGCCACCTTCACTGAGCGAGGAGGTTTGGACTTTGGATCACGATTCATTTAGCAAGCGTTCCAAGAGAGGGTATAGATTACCCGCGCTGCTTTCCCGGCTTCGTGTTCGTCACCGCAAGCTCGGTCAGTACGAGAGACATTACGTGGAGGCCCTGGCTTCAAGCATGGAGGCTTTAGAACGTCGTCAGTTGTCGGAAGATCATTACCGCACATCGCCAGAAGAGATAGCGGAACTGGTGGTTTCTTACCTGTATCGCTGGCAAGCGATTGTTCAGGAGACGTACGAACTCATCGTACGCCGCCTTCTGAGCTGCGAAGAAACAGGTTATTCAAGAGTACCCACCTTATTACCTGACTTCTACCAGTATCCGAGACTCTCAACATCCACCCTTCTTCGCAGACTAAATCATCTACATCGTGACTCAACACCAACTCTTTGGAAGCTGGCATTGACGCAATTTGCCATCGCACTCACCCAGTTTCAACGAGCGAAGCGGATGCTGGGTTGCTTAGAAGACCCAGCTGCATTGGCGAATGAGTTGCGCAATCCTGGCCACACGAACTGGTCCCCTTTGAAGTACCCAGACACTCTGCTGCTAGAGATTGAGAGCGGCTTGATAGTCAGGGAGGTGCAGGAAGAAATCGCGGAAAGCATGAGAAGTCCACCCGACGATGAGAATGCTGTCATGCAATTAAACATGGGCGAAGGCAAGTCGTCGGTCATTGTGCCGATTGTGGCAGCCTTTCTTGCGGACGGAACACGACTTGTTCGGGTTATTGTGGCAAGGCCTCAGTCAAAGCAGATGCTTGAAATGCTCGACTCGAAGCTTGGGGGCCTACTTCAAAGACGCATTTTCCATATGCCCTTTTCTAGGGCCGTCAAAGTCGGGCCCTCAGAGGCGATGGCTATTCAACACATTTTTGAAGAGTGCATGGATTCTGGAGGGATCCTGTTAGTTCAACCAGAGCATATTCTCTCGTTCCAGCTTATGGCGATTGAGACAGCCATTTCTGGGAGTGTGAGCGTTAGTCGAATGCTCGTCAGTTCCAAGGACTTTCTCGACAGAGTTGCTCGCGACATTGTGGACGAAAGCGATGAAAACTTTAGCGTCAAGTTCGAGCTGGTGTACACCATGGGTACTCAGCGGCCTGTGGAACATAGCCCGGAGCGATGGGTATGCATACATCAGGTCCTTGAAGTCATGAGGAGGTTGCTGCCTGACATCCACAAGAGATACCATGGCTCCTTGGAGGTTGCTGGAAGAAATCGTGGCTGCCTTCCTAGAACGCGAATCTTGCGCGACGACGCGAAGGCTACCTTGCTCAATCATATGGCTCGTCATCTCAGCGAATCTGGATTGACTGGACTTCCGATGGGAACCCAGTCTGCCTCCATTCAACAGGCGGTTTACACCTACATCTCCAAGACGAGCCTCATAGAGTCTGAAGTCGATGCGGTCGAAATGTCAGATATCTGGTTGCCAGCTACGCAAAACAGCATCCTACTACTACGAGGGCTCATTGCCGGCCAGATTCTCAGTTTCGTCTTCTGTCAAAAGCGATGGAGGGTCGATTTCGGCCTCGATCATAATAGGCGGCCACCTACACAACTTGCAGTGCCATATCGAGCAAAAGACAATCCCAGCGCCCGCTCCGAATTCAGTCATCCGGATGTCGTTATTATTCTAACATCGCTGAGTTATTACTATGGCGGCTTGACTGACTCCGATCTTTTCTTGAGTTTCGAGCATCTCGTTCGTTCGGACATGGCCGACATGGAATACCGCTTCTGGGTAGAGGACAGCCATCAACTACCTCTCGCATTCCATCAACTCCCTGGCATCAATTTAGAAGATCGTCCACAGTGCATCGAACAGGTATTCCCATGTCTAAGACATTCCAAGGGTGTTATCGACTATTTTCTTCATCATCTGGTATTTCCCAAGGAAATGAAGGAATTCCCGCACAAGCTCTCTGCCTCAGGGTGGGATATAGGAGAGAGGACAGCAAATGCGACGACTGGATTCAGCGGGACAAACGACTCGAGAGCCTTTTTGCCGTTGAGCGTCAAGCAGCTGGACTTACTGGATCAGAAGCACACCAACGCTTTGGTACTCGAGTATCTACTTCAGGATGAGAACTCCGTGGCAATGATTCCGGCAGCAGACAAGAACAGATTGAAGTCAGACGCCGAGACTCTCTTGGACATGGTTGTTGGGCTGAAACCCCCCGCTCGAGTGATTCTCGACGTCGGCGCTCAAATCTTAGAACTAGATAATCTCGGGGTTGCGAAAAAGTGGCTCGAGATGACGGAAGACAACGAGATGACACAGGCTGTTATCTTTTGCGATGAGCACGATACTATTTGTGCTGTGGATCGCAGGGGCCGTGTCGAAAGCTTCCAGACTTCACCGTTCGCCACTCAGACGGACGTCTGTCTTGTCTTCCTTGACGAGGCTCACACTCGAGGGACCGATTTGAAACTTCCGGCAGAATATCGTGCAGCAGTAACTTTGGGGGCAAACTTGACCAAAGACAGATTGGTTCAAGGTGAGTTCATATGGCTTGCATGAGCTAGGATTATCACTAATAGTTTGTCCTAGCCTGCATGCGAATGAGAAAGCTTGGGAAAGGCCAGTCGGTTGTTTTCTGTATGTCCGACGAAATCAAGCATAAGATTGCTGCCCAGTCAGAAATTAGCGAGGCCTCAATTGAGGTGACTCATGTCCTGGAGTGGTCCATCTATGAGACGCTCATGGATATGGAGCGAGGCATTTGGCTGTGGGCAAACCAAGGTCGTCGGTACCAGCAACATCGAGTCCTGTGGGACAACTGCATGATAGAGGGATCCACGAACCTGACTGAAGATCACGCAGATCAGTTCCTTGAAGAAGAGGCACAGACTCTCGAGACTCGATATCGACCAGGTTACCAATTACCAGCCGGTTTGATGGGCGATGAAGGTACTGGCGATGCCATCACCGATAGGCTGCTGCAGTTTGGCCGTCACAATGCAGAATCTGCGACATTTCGAGAAGAACAAGAGCGGGAGCTATCGCCAGAAGTCGAGCAGGAGAGAGAAGTGCAAAAAGCCCCTCCTGCTTCGCCTGCGAAACATCACCTACACTCAGACCTCCGCGCATTCATTACTGGCGGGACGCTCAATTTGCACTCGGGGGCATTCATCTCTGCCTTTCAGTCTCTGTCAGAAACCAGCGCCGCTCAACGCTACGATGTGAATAAGTTTCCTCAGGGACTCTTGGTAACAACGGACTTTGCTCGAACAATCATTCCCATGGGAAAAAGTTCAGGTTATGTCTCCGATCTTTTCCAGAGACCTGTGCAGTGGGTTCTCACGAGGGCTCGTGGGACTGACACTGTGATCATCATCAGCCCGTTTGAGGCTCAAGAACTCCTAGCAGAGATACAGAACTCCAGCTTTGTTTCGCTGCATCTTTATGCCCCACGACCTAACCTCGGGTTCCGTCCTTTGGATGATCTGAATCTCTTCACCATCCCGCACCAAAGACTTCCTCAGAACTTCCCTATTCGACTTGTCACTGAGCTGAACCTATTTTCGGGTCAACTTTATGTCAAGTCAATGGATCAGTACCGGGACCTACGGCGCTTCCTCACGTTGGAATCGGATGACTCAAGGGTCGATCATGAGATTGAACTACCACAATTAATCGATCAGGGGTACCTCGTGCAATTCATCAAAGTCGTTTTGATGAAGATACGGAGAAACTGTGAGTCAATTGACAAGACTCATGTGGGCCGAGTATTGGAGCAGAGGACTTTGGATGCTTCGGATTTCGAGGATGGCACCTAGATGCAAAAGTGCTCATTTGGGATGATAGATAGTCTTTCCTATCAAAGAAAGCATTCAGAACCTTGGTCTTTCACTAAGGTAGAAGGTACAAGTTACCTCAACATTACATTTCCTCCACTCTATCAATCAACCTATATGTATCCCGATACATAATCTCATTGATGTCCATGCAGAATGATCATAATTCTTCTTGCTTTATACAAGAGAATCTCCTCTTTCTTTCTTTGCTCGACCATCTCACTTGAGGGAACCTCTCCCCAGCCCTAGATCAAACTCGCTTTCCATCCTGATCGTATTCTTTCTCCACCCAAGAACCAAAGTCCAGCATCCCGGAGTTCTCTCGCTTCACAGCCGCGATATCGACCCCAAAGCCATCAGTGTAGAACCATCTGTACATGGCGCCGAACTCGGGGATCATCCAATGCAGGAATCTAACCAGAAACTGGAACGTCTCTGGGATTTCCGTCCCCTTCTTAGACTTGAAGATAGCACTAGCAGCTTCCAGCGTAAGCTCGTCACCAGCCAAAGGAATCTGCCTGCCGGCGAATTCTTGGGGATGAAGGAATGCCTTCGCGGCGGCTCGTCCTACATCTTTGACAGAAACCAGCTGCAGAGGCTTATCCTTGACCGCGACGCGCCACGATGTAGCCATGATCTTGATACCCATTCCCGGCTCCATATTTTCCATAAATGCAACAGGTCGAAGAATAGTCCAATCCATCTTGCCGCGCGCTTTCTCAACCAGGTGATGCTCGATGCGATATTTGCTGACGAAGTGAGATACACTTGGGACGTAGTTGTCGTATGAACCTCCTCCGCCTCTGTCTATGGAGCTGTATGTGAAGAACTGGACGTTGTTGGATAGAGCTGCATCAACTAGCGCTTTGCCTTGGGCTTCTTCGAGTTCTGCCGATGCTCCTTTGCCAATGGCCGTCTATTTGTTCATTAGCAACACAAAATGATTACTACAACTGAGGTTTCCCGAGAAACTCACTTGTACACTGAATAAGCCCCAAAGCTCAGTATTAGAAGAGCTCAATACTGCTTTGGCGTCAGAGAAGATGGCGGGAACGTCGTTGAGATCGCCCTGAATGACAATGACCCCACGAGATGCTAAGCTTTTGGCCTTAGAAGAAGCGACATTGCGGGTAACGGCGATGATTTTGTAGGTGCTTCCGGTTTCTGACTCTAGAAGTGCATCAATCACGGCGCCACCTTGTTTGCCGGTTGCACCAGTAACGAGGATCGCCCTAGTGAATTGCGAATCACTAGACATGATTGGAGAGATAATGTATGGGTTCTGCTTGTCGAGACTTGATAAGAATACTTGCATGTATTTTCGGTATGTGATAGTAGTGGTAGACCTGTAGAACTTGATACTAGATGATGTTAGAGTTGTTGATAATCCTTTAAAAGAAATGGAAGAGCAAGGAGATATCAGCTGCTTTATATCTTTAAAACCACCAGGCATGAGAGCCAGTGTTCATCCTCGAAATAAACCAAATGCATATTCAACTTCGCCTCTTCGCTTCTCGCGACAGCTCAATCGCCGGACTTCTAAATGATTGCTCATCAATTCTATCTCGTGGTGGTTGCAAACGAAAGGATGCTACCCCTGGCCTAGTGTAGTGAAACGATAGGTCTCGCGTGCCGGGCAAACGGACAAAAGCGCGGTTCTGCAGGCTTCCTATCAGCTTAGAAATCCGCACCCAATGCTGTTATTCTATTGGCTAGAAACATCATGAGAATGACGCTGCCCGCCAATGTGCCATTCCAGGGTGTTTGGATTCGTCAGCTGCATGGGTTATATCAGTCTTACCGCATGCAGACCATGTAGCTGCGGGCTAACCCGATCGCTCGAATAGGGTATCGGTTCAGTGCCAAAAGGGTAGCTTAAATCGACGTGCATGCAGGTATCTTTCTTTTGGGATTATAAGTACAACGGGTTGGCGCTAGCCATGACAGCTCTCACGTGCAACGACATCATGAAAAGTCGATGAATTAACACAGGCGGGATAGGACTGGGTGAGGAACAATTCTTCTTGTCCTCGCTTGAAAGGATCTAGCAGCTGGGCATGTCATTTGCAAAATCAATGAGACGACATGAAATGTAGAAATATGACTAAACAATCAGAAAAGCCCTCCAGAAGTCTCCGCCCCGAACAGATTCACTCGGATCCCAGCAGCCTTTGGAGCAGAACACTCCGTCCCATTCACACAAACATTGAAGCCACAACAATTGTCAACCAGACAAACACCACCTCCAGCACAGGGCGATGTCGCGTTACACTGATCATACCCAACGCATCTACCCGTCCGGAATCCAATACCCCCGCCCTCTAGAGTCTTGCCGCAGAGGCAGTCAGAGTCAAGGATGGAGGCTTCGGGTGGGTAGAACCGTTCTCCAGCTTGCACGATGCAAGCGTTTGCATTCGGGCAGCATGCAAGTGCTGTCGGGTCCGTGATGTTGCGCTCGTACTCTGAGCCTGTTGAGGGTAGGGCCGTTATGTTTGCGAGTGAGATGGGTGTAGTGGAGGTTCCAGCCGTGAAAGTGAGGTTCAACGTCTCAGTCGAGATGAGAGAACGGCAGACTTCCGTCTTGATAGTTGTGACACCGTATCCCTCAACAATATCACCTAGACCCGATCCAGAGCCCGAAGTCGAGTTCTTGAACGTTGCGGCCGAGAAATCGTAAAGGTTCATAAAGCTGTCAATAACAGCCAGGATTCCCTTGCCGGCATCAGAGCCAAGTTGTAATCCAGCATCGATGAAGGGCTGCAGAAGCTCGTCGACGTTGATAACACTGCCGAGTTGCTGAAAGAGCAGACTCCACACCGACGTGAGAGGTGGACAACTCCCCACCAGAGATCCCTGCGTCAAATGATCCAGAGTCTGTTGAACAGACGTCTCACACTCCATGGAATCGCTCCCGCTTCCCGGGAATGCGCAATTCGCAACAAAGTCTCCCGTGGCATCTGGGAGAACAATGCATTGGGTATCACCTAGCGCGACTGATACTGGCAGATCAGCACGGGCAGGATTACCGCACTGGTCTTTGAGATGGAGAGTGATGTCGAATGCGTCTTGTGCCATCTCGGCCAACGTCCCTTTGAAAACGGGAAGACGGCGAGGATCTGTGCCGTTTACTGGGATATCAGTAGTGTTTGTACAGGTCGAATTTGTCAGAGTGTTCAGTTGCTGGAAGAAACCAGAGATGAAGACGTCAATCTTGGGTGAGCAATTTGCCGAGGCAAAGTGCAAGCCCTCGCTGTCGATGGAGAGCACATTGCCGGCTTTGTCAAGGATTCCAAGTCTTGATGGGTCGGAGACGTCGACGAGAACTGGGTTGGTGGCATTGTCTATCAGGCGGAGGTACTGAACGGAGTGCGTAGTCTCATTGAGGTAGAACGCGTCGATGTACGGAGGAGTACGGTTAGTGACGTTCAGGAGAGACTCGTGTAGCGATGCTGTAGGTGTTGGAAGGGCGTAGCACGATGTCGCATTCTGCGCTACAATGACCGAGATACCCGTGAAAGCGGAGTCATAAATTGAGGTTGAGGTCGCCGAGGTACTCGCCGGCGCAGATGAAAACCCAGTCGTGGATGATGAGCTACCCGCTGTCGGGGCTGTATCATTGACAGTGCTCACGAACGTGGCGCCTCCGGTCAGGCTGACAGCTGTCGGTGTTATCAGACTCAAAGAGCCTGGCGTCAGGGTACCAAAAATGGTGGAACCGTCGACGACTGTCCACGTTGAAGCCACACCATCAATGACACTAGTAATGACTGTCGGAGTAGCGGTTGCCGTGGGAGACCCTGCTGTGGCGTCGGACGAAGCGAAGATGGTTGAGCCTCCGATTACTGTCCAAGACGAGGCGATGCCCCCAATAACGCTCGTGATGACAGTTGCGCCGGGTGGTAGTTCGCCCGAAGCAGAAGGTGGGCTTGCAATCGGACTGATGGTAGAGCCACCGATCACCGTCCATGAAGAAGCAACTCCCCCGATGACGCTGGTAACAACGCTCGCACCAGGTGGCAGATCAGATGGAGCAGTCGTAGCGCTTGGCACTGGACTGACTGTTGAGCCTCCAATGACCGTCCATGAAGAGGCGACACCTCCGATTATGCTCGTGACAACAACTACATCGCCAGTTGTTGCCGGTGTAGGAATCGATCCCGTGGCATTTGTTGGGTTCGCGATAGTCGAGCCTCCAATAACAATCCAGGTTGACCCGACCCCTCCTATCACACTCGTGATTACCGTGGCTGCCCCAGTTACCGTCGGACTCGGTGATATCTCACTGGGGTTCACGGAGATGGTAGAGCCCCCGATGACAGTCCACGATGAAGCAACACCGTCAATGATGCTTGTGATGATAGAGGGGGTAGCACTAAGAGTTGGAGATCTAGCGAGGGTTGAACCTCCGATGACCGTCCAAGTTGAGCCAACACCACCAACCACGCTTGTGATTACGCTGAATGCGCCAGTCTCTTTTGCAGATGGAGTCAGAGTAGGCGTTGGAACTGCGCTCCCATTTGACGGAATCCCAACAGTTGTGCCTCCAATCACCGTCCAGGTAGAAGCAACCCCTCCATTGACGCTCGTGATGATGCTAACCTCAGCAGCTTGAGAGGGGCTTGGCGTGGACGTGGGCGAGGTCGAGTTGGGAGAACCGACAAGAGTTGAGCCACCTATCACGGTCCACGTCGAAGCATCCCCATTGATGATGCTCGTGAAGACAGTGAAGGCACCCGGGGTGGTTTCTGAGGGGGTCGGGAGTTGAGTCGGTGTGCTGCTGTTGGCGAAAGGACCGCTGCTGGTGCTTCTGCCGAGCGTAACGACCCAAGTCGATGCCACCCCGCCGACATCACTCGTGATTGTGGTGACTGCAGGTGGAACATTGGGCGTACCGACTGTTGTTTGTTGGCTCGGAGCACCAGTAGTGCCAGAAAGCCAAGACAGACTCCAAGAAGACGATCCAGGAGCTCCAGTGATGGTCGTCGTAACCCCGTTGATAACCGAAGTGATTCCCACCATGGACTTTGTAGAACTCGGCTCAGAGGCGCTCCCAAAAATTGTCTTGACTGTCGTGTAGTTCCCGTTGGTAATCGTAATCACTCTTGGCACTGCTGCCGTCGATTCAACCGTCGTCCCAGGTTGCGTGGGCAAACTAACGGTAGAGTCTCCGATCAACGTTATAGTCGACACGAACCCAGATGCAGTCCCACTAGCGTCGCCGGTGATAGTCTTCGTCGTGGAAAGCGGGACAGGCCGACCACCGCTGTCGCCGTCACTCACGGATGAAAGACTCTGCGCGCTGCTTGGGTTTGGGATCTCGGAGCTGTAGATATAGATCGTGCTGACTTGCGTTTCTGTGACTTGAACTGTGGCGGTCACCTCGCCCCAACCACACGTCGACGCTGTCTCGGATGGGATAGGTGGGCCGGGGAAGGAATAAGAGTAACCCCCTTCGAAAGTTGCGTGGGCTGTTGGAATGGTATGGGAATCCGAGGCTGCCGTGGCTGATGCTGCGTTAGTTGCTCCGGGATCATCGACTTCAGTAGAGTAATCAGCTGCCGGCGTTGCCGTCGCATTTGCGTGGCAAGGTGCCCGAGGTGTTGGGTCGAGACTGAGAAGACAAGAGCACTGTGGCATATTAGTCCTCAATTCTTCACAATCAACAAGGCTTGGCATGGGTAGAGTGCAACTTGCCGCTGATGTTACGGACAGGGCGGGATAGCTCGTCGGCATAGGATCCGGTAAACTCAGCGTCCCAGTGGCGTCGCCAGAGTTCAGGAGCATGGAGCAGTACATCGTCCCGTTGTGCCGCTCCATAGCCCGGAGGAGGTTGTCGCCGTGGCATCCATCTGCCACAGCCATTGCCGCGCCTCCTGCGAGAAGAATGAGAGATGAGACAAACATGATAACGAATGATCTTGGGCTTCAGGCTAAGAAAGTAGAGAAGGCGGCAAGAGCGGTCAGATTAGAAAAGAAAAGAGAGAGTAATTGAGCGAGTGTTGAGGGCGGAGGCTGTCGAGCTTCGTCGGCCTCTGGTCCCGTTGGGCTTTCTCGTCGCCCTTACCTTCAGTATCTCAGCTCCCCCGAGACCTTTATACAGAGCGTAATGAGCTCGGCTCACGATACCTTCACTTATCGCAAACTGGTTCTATCATGCCGCGATTCCGAGAATAGACCACAATGCCGAGACAAATGCTAGCATTGGACTCCTCACCATTTGGACCCCGGCCCAGTGCTTCGGTGGGAGACTAGGAAACAGCAATAGCAACAACACGAAGCACTATCGCTGTGACGCAATCGCTTCCAGACATCAACGATCAAAGCATCACGGTACCACTGACTAGGTGTCGTCCCACCCCGGGCCCAGCTCCTCCGCGGCGCACCATGGTGACCTCGTGCTGTTCAGCTGCATGCGCGTCCGAGACCGACGCGGTACGCCGTCAAGATCATGCAGGTACCAAACTGACATCCCTGAGCTGCACTACGGCTCGTGTTCAATCACCGTATCCTATGAAGTTTTTGTCTTCCATAGATTTTGATTCGTGCCCACGATGCTCCATTCAATCGCTCCTTGGATTGGGCTGATAGAGACTACTATCGTTTCAGCCACTCTCACCGTCAAGGCCGCGATTTCATCTCGTGAGAGTTCAAGAAACACTCTCGGCATGAGTGCCGTTCGCCAAGCGAATATTGCTGACTCACATCTCTATATCAAGCGGAAATTCGACCAAAACCTTGTGTTATCTCCCAGAATGAGACAGAGAAGAGTAAATGAGGGGGACAAGATCACGCACTTGAGGTTCAACAAGACCAAACCAAGAAGCGAAAGGCGACACAAATTAAAGGTTGAGGGGTTCACTCACAGCAATCACGCGCCGAGGCGAAAGATGAGAACTCACTCAAGTCAGACAAGATGTGTAGAACAAAGCCAGAAAAGCCTCCAATTTTCTTTTCAATCATTACATCCATGATGCGCCTCCCCTCGTACAGTCATTATACCGATGACACACAAAGAACCGACCCATGGCCACCCCAAGGGGCCGACAATATTAACAGGCATGATCAACTCAAAACGCGCGCAAAATAGCAATGAACCCATGATTCGTAAGACTCTCCCCTTCTCTCACTTCCCATATTCCATCATCGCGCCATCGTCGTCTGTTGCGTGGCTTGCTGAATCTGGCCTTGACCATGGCCCTGCACCCGTGTCCGCACGATATAGTCCTGGTTCTCGATCGTCACGCTCTTCGTCATGTGGTTCACCTTGTAGACACCAACGAGACGGGCAGCCAGCTCGAACATGTTGTTTCGGAGCGAAATGACAATGAACTGGGCGTTCTTCGTGCGCTCTTTGATGTAGTTGGCAACGATTGAGACCTGAAAGTGACCATGTTAGCAAGGATGAATCGCAACAACTGATGGCAAGGGTAAGAACCTACGTTTCTGAAGTCCAAGGCAGCGTCAATCTCGTCCATGACGTATAGTGGCGTTGGCTTGTAGTGGTGCAGAGCAAAGACAAGCGCCAAACTGCTCAGTGTCTTCTCACCACCAGACAAGTTGCTGATGTTCTTCCACGACTTCTTCGGGGGCATGACACTGAAGAGGATACCTTCGCTGAAGGGGTCCAGGGAGTCGACCAACTCAAGCTCGGCGTTACCACCCATTGTAATCATTTGGTACATCTCCTTGAGGCGGAGAGAGATGGTGCTGAAGCCTTCCATGAAGCCCTCCAAACGCAGGCGACGGAGTTCGTCGCAGCGCTTCTTGGCTGCGTCGCGTTGGTCGACGGCGGTCTGAAGGTCGGATGAGCGGGCGGCGTGCTCCTCGACACGGCGACGGTACTCGGCGAGAACACCGAGATCGACGTTGACGTTTTGTGTCTTCTCCTCGAGAGCGGCGATTTCTCCCTTCAGTTTCTCCTTGCTCATGTCCGCAAGCTCATCAGGAGTGTAAACGGGCAGCTCGAGTGCTTGACTGCTTGGTTGAGATGGCAGCTGAGACTCGTCAGACTCTTCCTCATCGTCCTCATCCTCGGCTTCGGCGGATGGCTGGGAGTCCTCGCCAGTGACAGCGTCCTGGGTCACTGTCTTGTCACCATCCACTTCTGCGTCATCATCTCCTTCAGCAGCTGTCGGGGCAGGGGTGACCTTGGGTGCAGGGTTAGAGGTTCCGGTCAGGTCGTCCACGTTCTGAAGCACCAGCTTAGACAGCTTGTCGTTCCAGTACATGAGTCTCTTTTGGTTTTCAGTCAGGACCTTTTGGTTCTCCTCAAGCTTGTTCCGCATCTCGATCTCGCTGGCCCGAGTAGCATTCAACTCGGCGGTCTTCTCATCGAGCTCGGCCTTGACGGATGTCAGCTCTTGTTTCTTAGCTGCCAAACCCTCCTCGGCCTCGTCGACTTGGCCTCGAAGAGACTCGGCCTTCTCGCCTTGGTTTTCTATCTCATGCTCGAGCTTCTCAAGGTCGCGAATAGCCACCTCAATGTCCTTGGTGGCCTTGGCGTGGTCTCTCTCGAGCTTCGTCTTTTGCTTCTCGGCCTTGACCTTGCGAACTTCGGCGTTGGATGTCTCCTCGTTTTGAGAGACAATCTCCTCTTTCAAAGAGTCGACGTTGGCTTTTTGCAGGCGAAGCTTCTCACCACCAACCTGCATGATCTTGTCTTGCAAAGCCTTGATCTCTTCCTCAACTCCAGATGTCTCGTCGTGGAGCTTCTCAACCTCCTTGTTGAGCTTAGCAATTTCCTTGCGAAGAGCCGCAATGCGGTTATTATCCGAGGCGGAGGGTTGGTGCTCCTTGCTCAACTCCTTGATGCGACGATGGGCATCGGCCAAGTTCCTAGCCGCGCTGTCGATCTCAAGAGTGATCTTCTGCATCTTGGTGTCGAGCATAGGGATCTGATCATTGAGTTCGCGGACTCTTGTCTCAAGCTCGCGCTGCTGCTCCTGGAAGTCTTGAAACTTCTCCTCGAGAACATCGCGATCTTCCTCAAGCTTCGAGACCTGTTCCTTGGAAGTCTCGGCAACAAGCTTCGAAGACATCAGACCTCGCTTGACAGTTGTACCACCACCAGACATGGTACCAGACTTGTCAATCAGCTCGCCGGCCAAGGTAACCACGCGCCATCTCCTGGCACCGTAAGCGATTCTGTTGGCCTGAGCCAGGTCGTTGGCCACAAGGGTATCTTGAAGGGCGTGGTAGAATGCTGGGCGGAACCTCTCCTCCTTGGGGTTGACTAGGTCAAAGAGGCGAGGCGCATTTTCGGGGGTTTGGATGGCATTCATGTCTCGAACTCTCAGTTTGTCCAAACACATAAAGTTACCACGACCCAAGTTGGTCTTGCGAAGGTACTCAATGCATTGCTGACCAGCTTCGACGGTGTCGGTGACAAAGTTGTCGAGGGCACCGCAGGCCGTGGAAATGGCCACATCGTACTTTTGGTCAATTGCGCCGAGGTTGCCGAGTCTTCCGTGGAACCCGTCGATACGACCGGACTCGCGCATGCGCATCAGAGCGGTGAGAACGTTGCCCTGAGTCTGCGTCTTAGACAAACTTGAGCGAGCCTCGTCCGCCTTCTGTCTGGCGTTAGACACCTTTGCGCGAATCTTGGGTTCGTGGGCATTGAATCGTGTCAACTCGTGCTCAGCCTCCTTTCTCTCTTCCTCCAGCTTGGCCTTCTCGGCCTGGCACTCTTTGAGCTCCTCAGTCTTGGCAGCGCGAGCATCCTCAATGGCAGCAATCTTTGCCTCCGTTTCAGAAATAGCCACAGCACCAGCGTTGGCCTTCTCCTCGAGGATGTTCATCTCGCTCTCTGCAACAGCGATGGCTGATTGCTTCTGGTTGATCTTCTCCTTCCAGGGCTCCAATGACTTTTGCTTGACTGCAATCTGGTCGGAGAACTTTTGAGTCTTGCCCTTGAGGCCCTCACGAATAGTCGCGAGCTCCGCCTCCTCTTCTTGCACTCTGATTTCGAGTGATGCGATTTCTTGTGCGCGGGTCTCAATCTCCTCCGCGCATTGGGCGATGGTCTCGTCTGCTTCAGTAGCGGACTTTTCGGCGTTGGCGATGGTCTTGTCCAGCTTCTTCTGCTTGTCGTTGAGGAACTTCTTCTTCTCGTCAAACTTGACGCGCTCTTGCTCGAACTTGGCCATCTCCTTAACAAGAGCCTCGGTTTCTTTCGCTTGCGCCTCAAACTCCTTGCTTCCACGAGAGTATGACTTTTGGAGCTCCTTGATGACCTTTTCGCCGCCATGATGCTTCTCCAACTCATCATCGAGCTGCGCCTGCATCTGACTGATTGCTTCCTCAGTAACAGCAACGTTGTCGTTGCACTCGCCAATGTAGAGTTGGTACAGCGCAGACTTCTTTGTTGTGAGCTCGTTCTCGTCGCGGATGTATGCAATAGCCTTGTTCTTCTTGTCTTCGAGGCCGTTCTTCTCCTTCTCAACGTGTTGAACGCGACCACTCTTCTCCATGCAGATTTCATTGAGAGTCTCAACCTCGGTGGCGGATTCCTCAATAGGCGTCTTGTACTTTGAAGTGCCGATGATATCCTCCAGATATTCGAGAAGACCGTCGTCATGTTCGTTGGCAGCCTTCGGCTTCATCTGGGCGATGGACTCGACCTCACCCTGCAGAATCAGGAAACGTTTGTGGTCAAGGTCGATGCCGCGGTCGCGAAGGAGGGTGGTGACTGTGGTGAAGTTGGAGGCTTTGCCGTTGATGTAGTATGTGCTAGAGTTGTTCTTGAAGGCTTTGCGGGAAATGATGAGATCGGAATCGGGAATGACTTCATGTCCACCACCGGGCTACGTATGGTTAGCGACTATTCGCGCGAAACATTCGACGCAACTAACCTGATCCATGACTTCTCTGAAGTGCACAGAGACCTCGCAATGGTCCAAATT